TTTTTCATAGATAGCTTTTATTGTGTTGAGAAATGACCCTTGTATGCCAATTTTGCTGAGCGTCTTGATCATGAAGGGATGTTGTATCTTATCAAATGCTTTTTCTGCATCAGTTGATATGACCATATGGTTTTTTATTTTCCTTCCTGTTAATATGGTGTATTACATTTATGGTTTTGTGTATGTTGAACCGACCTTGCATTTCTGGAATAAGGCCTACCTGATCATGATGTAAACCTCTTTTCTATAAGTTGTTGGATATGATTTGCTAGTATCTTGTTGAGAATCTTTGCATCTATATTCATCGGAGATATTGATCTATAGTTTTCCTTCCTGATCCTGTCCTTATTTGGTTTAAGGATAAAGGTGATAGAGGCTTCATAGAATAAATTAGGGAGAGATTCACCCTTTTGTATCTTTAGAAATAACATGAGCAGAATGGGAGTTAACTCTTCTTTGAAAGTTTTATAGAATTCAGAGGTAAAGCCATCAGGGCCAGGGCTTTTCTTTGTTGGAAGATTATTTATTACTGATTCAATCTCCTGGTTTGTTATGGGCCTATTCAGACTTTCTATATTCTCTTGGCTCAATCTTGGTAGATTATATGTGTCCAGGAAATTGTCCATCTAATCGAGATTGTCTTGTTTCTTGGCATATAGCTGTTCATAGTATCCTCTAATGAAGTTTTGTATTTCTGATAGTTACTTTGTGGGCTCTGAAAATGGATGCCGAGGTAAGGAGCAAAGAAATTGAAATATATGATGAACTTAGCAAACTGTGGGATTCAAGAAAATGCCTGGCAATATTAGTAATAGGGAATATCACAAACCTCATAGATTGTAGGTTCTTATCCTGAAAAACATTCAGCAGGGAAAAAAATTGCAAATTAGGAGTAAAGAGGGCCAAGCACATGTGACCAGGAATTCAGATTCTGTTTTAAAATGTGATGGGAGCAAAATAAAAAAAAAAGCCCGTAAGTAAATTTTTGCCCCCAGACAGCCAGCTCCTAATTTCAATAAAGGAGAAGGGAAGTGCGTCTTGCAGGGCTTATTCCATTTGGCTTTCATCACAGGTGATTTCCCAGTGGCTCGAGTGGGACCTCCTTAAGAAAGGTAGACATGATGGTGGGATTCTGAAGATCAAGCTCTGTGACATCAAATACAGATTTAGGTCTCTCAGCAGGCATCTGACTAACTGCTGTTTGTTGGCCACTCAGAGATGGCCAAAATAGAGAGAACTAAGAAGTCTCATGTGGGTACCAGGCTATACTATAGCAGGTTTAAGGAAGAAAACAGGCTTTCTACTTAAGAAAATGTCCCATTATTTGAGACTGTGGTGAAAACTGTATGATAATTTCACCTTTAAATTAAATAAAAATTTAATTTTCCAGGTTCCAAGGAAATAATGAGTACCTATTCCAGAGAAACTCACTTACATTTGTCTTTATTTTTATGGAGAGGTTTTTACTCTAGGGTGCATGTCCTCATACACAAGACAGAGAGAGACAGAGAGACAGAAAGAGAGAAGTCATCCCGTATGGTAGGTAGCTATGCTACAATCTCTTCTCAGGATCTTGAACTTGTATGCACATGCGCCAAACATGAGTTTAAGCCACCAGGTCCAGCACTCAAACCGCAGTTGACTACATAGGAGACTAGTGATTTAGTCATTTCGCCATCTGATGGTCCCAGAAAGACTCACTTTCTTTTCTGTTTCCTGCAGAATCATTGCTCTCCACAGAATCATCCACAGTATTAACAGGTACCTTTCCCACACTGTCTCTATTGGACATAGAAATTCATATGCTTGAGGGTTAGGTTTGACACAGGAGAGAACTGGGGATTAGAAGTGTCAGATCAACTTTCAGTACACTTTCCACATGTGAGTATGTGGGTATATGTCCCGTATCAGGGGATCTTGCTCTGAGTATTCATCCCCAGGCTTTAGAGACCTTGAGTCTCCAAGCTCCCATAGCTATTTGCAAAAGAATGAGAGAGAGGAGGGCTAATTGGCTAGTGTCTGGGAGTTTTTATTCAGGGTGGAGAAGTGAGCACAGCAGGGTTAAAGTTCCCTTCTGAGCCCAGACCTGGCATAGCCTTCTAAAGAGGCTAGAAGTGTTAGGAGTCAGAAATGCACCCCTTACATGACCAGGCATCCATAGTCAGGAAGGAAGGATTTCAGGTAACATTTCCCTGTGTGGGCTTTAACACACAAATGGGGGTTTTGTCTATGGAAAGTGGTCCTGGGTGCACCCAACCTTTGCAATCTTGAAAACATCAGAAGTGAGTTGAGTAATAACTGTGTCCTTTCTAGGAACTGATGCAGGTTTGGCCCTGAGGCTGGTGAATGGAAGTGACCAATGTCAAGGCCGGGTGGAGGTCCTGTACCGAGGCTCCTGGGGCACCGTGTGTGATGACAACTGGGACATCAATGATGCCAACGTGGTGTGCAGGCAGCTGGGCTGTGGCTGGGCCAAATCTGCTCCAGGATATGCCCAGTTCGGTCAAGGCTCAGGTCCGATTGTCCTTGATGACATGCGCTGCTCAGGACACGAGTCCTACCTGTGGAACTGCCCCCACAATGACTGGCTCTCTCATAACTGTAACCATGGTGAAGATGCTGGTGTCATGTGCTCAGGTGGGCATTGAAGACCCTCACTCCAATTTCCAGGAATGTACTTTGTTTGGTGCACCTGTTCCTGTTCCCAGAACTTTATTTCTGTGTGCTTGACATGGAGATGTGGATGTTGGTGGTCTCCCTTAGACTGATGGTGCCCATGCGACGAATGTTGGTTGGTTCAGTAGTGGGGTGTACACACAGGCCTAAGCTCCCCAAAGAAGCTCTGGGCCATTTAACTGTGCTCTACAGACTTAGGTGGTGCCATCCTCATAATATGACCCTGAAGAGGTCAATGTTGTAGTCTGCTTTTCCTTCCAACTCCTTGAGTTAGTTCAACCAAAGTCTAAAATGACAGGCGTTCTATGTTATGCCTGTTTCGAACTTTATTTTGTCTTTCCATTTTTTATCAGTTCTCATCCTTGCTTGCCATATGTGAATATGGTAGCATTGTAATTGGCCTATCCCTTCTGAGCGTTTTTCATGCTTTTTTTCCCTATACGATAGCAGAATTTATAAGAGAAGAATAAACGTTTCCTCAGGTAATTCTGGAATATATTAATGATAACAGTTGTGTTGTGCACACAGATCAGACTGACATGCCTGACAGCCTTAATTGGGAGAGAGCTGTACTAGCCCCCCAGTAGGCTGATAGGTAGATCACACTTAGATATTAAGAGCTGCATGGGGTTAAAGACTCTGTTCCAGGGTCATTCTCATCAAGGAAGTCAAGTGAAGTCCAGAAGTCCCGAGTAAGGCGAGAAGAGCAATCTTCATATACTTTGTGAGGGGAAGGAGTGGGGAATGAAATGATTTCTGATGAGAGTCACAGTGGCAGATCCATAAGTTTTCTTTGTGGCTCTCATCTCCTCAGGAAATGACAGGTTACTGGTTGGACATTGCCTGGCTGGTGTCTATCCTTATTTCTGGAGGACACATGATCCCTTCTCTGTCACCAGGCTGGTAGGAGATTCTGTCTTCCAAGCTTTTTCTCTATTCTTTAAGAGAAGGAGCTTTTGAATCTCAGGTGGCAGGGGCCATGTGGCCCAGCACTGATGCCACCCCACAGATATTCCTTTCCTGACATTGCCTGGACCCCCGCAGCACCGATCAATTGCCACATAGTATAAGCACCATTTTGTTTGGGCTGAACCTTCGTGGTGGCCATCTCTGCCTCTATGTCTGAGGCTACAGGCTTCTTGAGTCTGAGAACTCAGCTCTGTACCTGTCCCTCCCAAATTCACTATGTAGAATGGAGAAAGCACAGGAAGCACCTTTTGCCTATTTTTATATAGCATGTCTGCCCTGTACATGCTGGGGAAGAGTTTTATGGTTGCATACGTTTTCCTGATGACATTCATGTCTGTTTTTCTCTTCCTTTACATTTAATCATTGCTCATCCTTATAGGTTGCTGCATGTCTGTGTTTATCTTAATGTTTAAAATTTGAATTGAATCCTTTTAGTTTATATCAATAATTCTATTTCCTTGCAAATCTGGCAGGCATATTTTTGTCTTCATATTGGCTATTTGTTTTCTTTGCCTGCCCTTGCTTTAACTGGTTGGGTCTTTACAGAAAGACGGAGGGTTGGATCTTTCCTGGATCATCTGCAAAATCTCAGGGTGAGGAAGGGGGCTAGGCAGGGAAGAATTGAGAACACCTGAGCCCTGCTTTTTCTAGAAGGAAAATTGTGTTTCTCTTCAACTATTAAAAGGACACTGACTTTTTCAGGAACCAGCAGTTAGCCTAATGGTTATGTCGCTGAACTCCCTTGTAGCCAATCATGGTTCGAGTCCCAGACCCAGTGGCTTAAAATCACGCTGGGCGTGTGTGCGTGCGTGCCCAAGATCCCGAGAGGAGAATGGAGGAGAAGGGATTGTGGCGTGGCCATCCCCCCAGTGGGTGATTTCTCCCTTTCTGTCTCTCTGTCTTTCTGGCAAGCAAATGTACCCTATGGCAAAAACCTCTCTTAAAAAAGGGGAGGGGAAAGGAAGAAAATCTTACACTCAACATCATACTCAATGATAAAATCCTTATGTGAGGGTATGCAGCCTAGCTGCATGAAGCAGTTATCTGGATGCTTCATTAATTACTCACTCAAGCTGGTTGACACATGCCTTGGATGTAAGGGGCTCTATGAAAACATCATGGGGTTGGGAAACATTCTGACCCTGGTTAGGTCATGCGATGCCTGTTCTATATGTTTATGGCTTACATATTATCCTCTTCGATGCATCCTCAGACAGCCTTCCTCAGAGTTGCAGAGCAACAGCATAAGTAATCTGGTTTGACCTATGACAGGATCATAAAAAAAAAAAAAAAAAAAGAGAAAAAGTAAAAAAAAAAAAGAACACTGCCTTTTTTCCAAAATATATTCCTTAGAAAATGGCAGAATCCTGACAGGGTCATTTTTGTTCAGTCTGATCTTTGAAATGAGAATCACATTTTTGAACCAAAGATAATTCTTGTGGCCACTCCACACCCACCATATAGAGATGCCATTCCTTAGCAAAGAGGAGCATAAACCATAAACCTTGTGTACTTTTTTCTGCTTTGAAACATTGTGGATTTCCAAATCTGGATTACAGTGTAAACTAGCACGAGTGGAGGCCAGGTGGCCACCTGTGACAGATCCTGTACCTCTGTAGTGTGAAGTGAATCCAGACAGCTAGAGAGGATGTGGAGGCCAGCTGACTCTGCACTCTGGGATGAAAGATGAGAGCTCTCATTTATGCTTAAAATGATTTTATGCTTTTATCTCTACAAGGAGTTCTGATGTGAACTATCAGATTCTTCTGGTAAGGAGGTGAGGAGTGCACAGGGACTCAGGAGATTTCGCTCTCCACCAAGGGGCTTACTGTCTCATCTGCTGTTCACTGTTCTTTGAGGGTGCGCATTAAACCCTTTACTTTGCTAGTGTGCATGTGTGTACGTGTACATTCTGTGTGTGCTTGGGTGTTTCGTGTTTCGGGTGGGGATGGCTCTCCTTCTCTTTAGTGCTCCTGAAATGCCCTCAGCTGCTCCATAGTCACATCAGTATCCAGAATAGGCAGAGGCGCTGCCTCAGGAGTAAGGGAGTAATCGATGTGCCTGGAGGTTACAGTCAGCTTTCACCCTGATTCTCCCTGTTCTCCTAGCATTTCACTCCATATGCCTGAGCATGTGTGATGCACTAACTAGTACGTGATTCAGTGAATAGAGCGGGCACCTGAGCAGGTCTCCCAACTGACAGGAGAGAAATGGAATGTCCATGCCTATGCCCCTCAGGGCCTCCATCCTATGAATGAGCTTGCGGAGCACGAGTCTCTTGCAGATACCCAGGGAACAAGATTCAAGGTCCAGTAGGAGAATTGTTATCATTGTCTGGTTCAGACAGCCTTTCTTTTTGGCCTTTTCCTCTTTAATTCTAATTCTAGCCTTTCTCATCATTGCCATTTACAGGAACATGGGCTACCACATTCTCATCTCCACCTCCAACAGGTAAGTAATCCTATAACCCATCCCTGGTGCTTTGTCCACCTCTAGATGTACTTTGGATGTAAAATGATAGGGTGAGGCTTTGAG